ATGTATACATGTGTGTATGTATGTATGTATGTATGTATGTATGTATGTATGTATGTATGTATGCATGCATGCATGCATGTATGTATGTATGTATGAATGGAATGTAATGTAATGTAATGTAATGTAATGTAATGTAATGTAATGTAATGTAATGTAATGTAATGTAATGCAATGTAATGTAATGTAATGTAATGTATGCAAATATAAGTATAACTACGCTCCTATCTCGAAGAAACTACCGAAAGTGGTGTAACATGCCACGTTGCCAAGACTGGGTATACAACATCCAACATCATGTAAGGTGGCGGGCAGCATCTGTTTGGGGGGATTTGGTATCTGGGCTACCTTTCAGGCTCTGAGGGATGTCAGGCTTCAAAGCCACGTCTTCAACTGTTTTTGGCTGAGACGGCTTCTGGCTTTCCTGTTTGTGTCATTGCTCGTCCAGGAAGGGAGGCCACAAGAAACCTGCTAAAGTCAAGAGTCTGTAGAGTCTTAACCATGCCTGGCGGCTACATGCCTGCCAGCAAGGTCCCAGACAGCATGTCGGAAATGGCGGTTGACTTGGAGCGCTTTCGCAACAAATGCTGCTGCTCGGCATAAGCCAGTTTCGGACCTGCAGGAGTTTGTGGCAATGAAGCTGCACCCTCCGCTTCACATCCGGCCGGTTTACCTGGCCCAGCCTTGCAGACCCGAAGCCCTGCCGGCTGCCGAGGCAATTTTACATTGCCATCAAGTCTGCGGGATGCGCAGAACTTGAAATGCGCCTTGAAATCAGAATTGGCATGTTTGCATGTCTTGCCCACGCGGCAAGCCCGTTTCTGGCTGAGGTTTGCAGCAGAAAGTCCTGGACTGCATCAAAAGTCTCTACAAGCGCTGCCTCCCAGCTTCCGGCCCATGCACGTGATAGCTCGCACAGTTCGATGGGTGCTTCCGAAGAGTCAGAGTGCCTCAAAATTCCTTGCTTCTTTGGTAAGACTCAAGCTATTTGCAAGAAGCGAGACAAGCAATCACATCGAACCGCTGCCAACTCTGCCAGGAGCGAGACAAAGCCGTACCTGGGCGAGGCCTGCCTTTCCTCTTGGTCGTTAGGAGTTGGCTGCCTGTGCAGGCCTAAGGCGTAAGGTTCGGTCTTATTGGCTCACAGCTTTGCCTTCCTTGGGTTCAGTCAACTCATGGTTTCGGCGGCAGGGAGATTGGCTTGGCTTGTGCCTCTGAATCAAGAATCTTGCCACCCATGATTGAGGTTCAAAAACTGCTCCGCATGACGGCGACAACAAAGAAAGACAAAGATGAGGCTCGCTATGTTGCAGCCGCCGCCAAGCTGCTCCATCAGGGATTTTGTGTTCAAGCCTTCAGAAAGATTTGGATGAGTATTCTTACAAGCTCAAGAGGTTCCAGGTACAAGGCGCGGTTTACTGCGAGATCCTTTTTGTGTGTTAACATTGACTCGTGGTCCGGTGTTTACTATTACGGATGGCATGCGGCGTGAGTTCGCCTCCTGGAAATGAGACGCTGGCAATTGCACCAAGGTTTGTGCCTTGATGCCTGAGCTCTTCCTGTTGGTTCCACCACATTGTGGCGACCCTCCATGCATCCTACTTCGTGATCCGCCAACAGGCGCAGTTGCAAACGAACGGCTGCAGGATCCTGCCTTTGCTGCAGGGTCCTGCCATGGTGTTTGCTTACCGCTTAATGCCTCAGACTCCGGAGTGTCATTCACCTGCCACGGGGCTGCCTTTGCTTGAGCTGCCCCGGGAAGTCGAGAACCCGAGCCGGCAAGGCCTAAGCAGATATGAACTCGGACCTGCGACCCAGAAACCGAGGCAAGAAGCATGTGAACGTGTTTCCTGGCAGGCTTCGAGCTGTGGTACGAGAAGTTGCCTCAGCGCTGCTCTCAAACGCCCGAAGAGGAAGCCATGAGGCAAGCCCATAATATCGCATAGTTGGCAATGTTATCTCATGGGACATTGCAATATGTTGCACCCGTACACTCTTACATGAGACCCCATCTGTAGTTCGTTAGGTTTTACTTTGGGGCTTGTAGACGACTTCGAACTTTAAGTGCATAAGGCAATGCCTTCCGGGTTTTCCCGCCAACTCCCGAACTCTTGCTTATACCGGCTATCGTCACGATGGCCATTCGTTGCTACAGTGAACAGTGTTCGCTGCTGTGTTTCGCGACAGCATGCTTGCCGTGTTGTTTCGATGTTGTCTTTGAAGAACGAACGGCACGAGCTTCCGAGTCCAGGAACCTGCGGGAATCGATTTCGGCTGGTCGGATTTCCACTATGCGGAAGGCCTTTCCGAGGCTTCACAATCAGAATCCGGACACGCGCAGGAAGATGTAAGAGCGGAAGGTGAGGTATGGCAATTATCGCGTACGGGCTCCTGGGGTTCTTGTGTGTGGCTACCTCGCGTGAGTGGACTCATGGGAGACAGGGGCTTGGGTAAGAAGTCTTCTCATTGTGGATTGAAGAGGTGCTAAGACGGTTTTGGGATAATAGATACCTGTTCCAGTCATGCCGTAGAGCGACCCGGTTGCTTCTGCCCTTTCAAGAACCGGCCTCTTTGATCGAGTGTTCCTTGGCTCTTTCGGCTTTTGGGGGTGTTCAAGGCTCAAGGTGCAGCCCTCGATCCTCGAGACCTCTAGGTTGTTTCACTGCATGGTTTCTCTCACTCCGGTACCCCCCGTCGCCTTCACTGCCGAAGAAGTTCTGCTTGAAGATACTGAACATATGTACTTCACTTTAGATATGATAGCATTCACATCGGAACAACCAGAGTTCACGCCGATAGAGAAGTCTGAACAGACGGCGCCAGGTGCTGGCCATAGAACCTGTAGAAATGAGTTACTGCCGCGAGCCAGAAGCTCCAGGGTTCTGAGAACTCACACATCGTTGAAGCTATGCCTGCCGCTTGACTTGATCACAACGCTTTGTCTTGCAAGCAACCGCCAGGTAATCGACGAACTGTACGCAGACAGGATCGAGCCGACTCTCAACGAGGCAGAACCCGTGCAGTCCACCAAGACCTGCACCACGTTTCGCAGGCTAGCCGTTGCACAGCCTGCACCCTGAACACTTGACCAAACCTGCATTCCGACAGGGATGATTGCCGGCGAAACCCGGCGGTAGCGCGAAAGTTGGTATTGCCGGCTTCAAACTTTGTCGGGTCCAGCGGCAGCTCCAAGAGATAGCGGAGTCCTTCTCCTCCTGTGCTGCTAATTCCTCTTTCCAGCACCACAAACCCAAGTCCTCATTTTTGGAGTTCAGGGCCTCATTTGCGTCCACTGCGAACCGTGGTACGTAAGCGACTGCATGGCCCAACTCATCCATTCTCGAAGAGGAAAGCAGTGGCGGAACCGCAGAGATCTTTGCTCCCGACCCTCCGAAATCACTGCATAAGCCGACATAGTGATATCAAGCCCCGAGAGGTCCAGGAGCGGCTGCGCGACCGCGGATGGAGCTACTCCGATGCCCAGCAAGCCGTCCTCCTCTATGAGCCTTCGAGACAAAAGCCGTGAGTTGAGCAGAGATTCGGAGATTCCTTCATTGTTGCCCACATGACAGGGTGGTTTCAGAGCTGTTGACAATGGCAGTGGCCTGCCAAGCTTTGTTCGGCTCCCATGGTATGGAAATGCATGGACATTAATGACCAGACGGACACAGCAAGCAAGCTGCGTGGTTGATCGATTTCGCTGTAGCTCTCTGCTAGCTGAGGCATGTCAGAAGGACACCTACGACCTGGCCAAACCCACACAAAACAAACAGATCGTTGTGCTCTTGAAGGACATCTGAGCCTCGTGTGGCGCTCGATACCGACGCCGGCTGCATCTGTCGACTCATCCATCACTCACACACACACACAGTAAGGATGTTTCGTGCTTGCTTTGCGGTGGCTTTGTGGCTATACTTGTGGGACTGTTTCGTCACGGCCTTCAGGTCTGCTTCTACACACACTACATGGTGCTACTCATTTCCCTGCCCCGTCAACATGTGGAAGCTGCTTCCTGCAGAATTGAACAGGCTTAGTGTTGCGAGCATGGAATCCTGCCTGATGTTGCATGAAGTTTCCAAAGTCTCGTAAAGTATGAAATACCGAGATTTTCCGGTCTTTTTCAAAAAAGAAACAGTAACATGGTTTTCAACCATCCACAGGAGCCGCCTCGCAGCTTCGCCGGGTGGGCAGAAGGTGCCGGAATCATTCCCAAGGCCAGGGTCAGCTTCCGAGCGAAAGGTGCAGAGAGTCTCTTTCTTAGGGTTGCAAAAGTCGCAGGTTGGAGGTGTTCTTCAGGGCTTAAAGCTCGAACTTCACCCAAGCCTTAGGCTTAGTTATACGAACGCTCTATCAGAATGCACAAGAAGCCAAAGCTATCCCACGAAGGTCCTGCGCGAGATCATAGAAAAGCCCTCAATAAGGACGCCAAGCGAGGTTTCTGTGCCGATGGAATCCGGCTTCAAATCATTGCTGGCAGCAGGCGAACCAAAGCTGGGATCGAAGCGTATAAGGGTACTGGGTCGCCTATGCACAGCGGTAACTGCATATGTACATGTGTGTGTGTGTGTGTGTGTGTGTGTTTGTGTGCGTGCGTTTGTTTGCGTGTGTGAGTGTGCCTGTGTGATGGTGTTTTTGCATGGAATGGACTGGACCGAAGTGGAACGGAGTGGAGTGTAAGGAATCGAATAATCGAATGCAATTCACATCAATGTAATGTAGCGCAGTCCATTGAAATTTAATGCAATGTAAAGTGATACCGTGCACGGTGGTGCAGGGTACCGCAAAGTAACATAAAGCAGTGTACTGTAATGTCAGAGAGTGTATACGTGGCAGGGGGTTGGGCTTGTGCAATATGTCATATCGAGGATATGCTACACCCATGTGACAAGGTAACAGGTAGCGAATGGGACATGCCCACACGCGAAGTTATGTGTCAGGAGACCGGAATCGCCAAATGACGGGGCGCGTTTAAGATATATGATGAAGCGGAGTCGCCAAATGAGGGGATCGCCAAATGAGGGGGCGTGTTCAAGATATATGATTACCGCAGAACCGCCAAATCACGCGGCTTGTTTAAGATGTATGATGAACCGGAAATCGCCAAATGAGAAGTCGCATATATCATATATGATGAACCGGAATCGCCAGATGAGAGGGCGTGCTCAAGATATGTGATGAACGGAATCGCCATCGCAAGCCCCCTGAGATTGAGATTTCTGTGAAACAGCACCAAATGAGGGGGCATGTTTATATAGTTTTATCTAAGTTATGCTACATGATGAACATGATCAGCTGGAATCCTATTCGCGTGTGAATATGTCAAGATTCAGTAAGCGACAACATTTTCACATCGGTTCAAGCGGAATTTACAGCCTCGGCCTAAGTAGCACTGAATAGGGCTTTGGCAGCGAGCATCCTGTGTTAACAAAGGGATGCCGGGACCAGATTTGCACAATGTGCTGCAAGTAACAGGATGCGGGGTTTTGGGCAAAGTAAAGGAAAGTGTGAATAACGTGAGTTTGAAGGAGCCATAGTTGCAGATGCTCTGGGACCGCAAAAGCAAAAAACATCAAAAACAAATCCACCAAAAATTAAGATTAATTTCCACCCTGTATGTATGTATGTATGTAAGTATGTATGTATGTACGTATGTATGTATGTATGTATGTATGTATCTTCGTATTTATGTACCTATGTATATGTACCTACGCATGTATGCATGCATGCATCCATGCATGCATGTATCATTTATGTGTACATGTACTTATGTGTATATATGCATGCATGTATGTCTGCTAGTGTATGTATGCATACATAGATGCATATTTGTATATATATCTATATACACACATGCATACATATATATATATATACATTTACATACGCGTATATACATATACATCTATTTACCTTGATACATACATATATATATACATATACATACATATATACCTACGTTTACACATATATACATATATATATATATATTCATACATATATATATATAGATACATATATGCATGTGTGTGTAAGCACATGTGTATGATGGTGTGTGTATGTATGGTTACTTCTGTATGTATGCATGCATGCATGCATGTATGTATGGCCGTTTGCATGGCCTGCCCGTCTGTCTGGCTGTCTGTCTGTCTGTCCGTATGCTACTGGTAGTTATTGTTGGTGAGTGAGTGGGTTCGGCAGGAGGAAGGTAGGCCAGGTAGGCAGGTAGGTAGATTCTTAAGTACTTAGGCACTTAGGCAGTTACCTAATTATCTAATTGCACTTAGGTAGCTACGTAGCTACCTAGGTGGGCAGTTGTTCCGTTGTTGTTGTGTTTTTTTTGTTCGTTCGTTCGTCCGTCCGTTCGTTCATTCGTTCGGGCGCTGTTTGCTCTTTGCTTGTGTGGGCGTGTGTGTGTGTGTCTGTGTTTGTTCGTTGGTTTGTTTGTTTGCTTGCATGTAGAGTTGGCAGTAAGGCCATTCAAAGTTTGCGATTGTCAGTTGTAGGCAATGGTTATAGTTTGTTTCCACTAGTAGCACTAGTGCTCACTTCTCTTTGGGGCTCAGACTGTATTTCGCTCTTTACTCCATGTGCGTGTGGGGATCGCAGCGAGCTCTTCGAACAAGTCGACTGTGGCTACGGCTGATGATCCAGTACTTCCACATGATGCTGCAGCCTGAATGCCGCTATCGTAGACATGTCGGTACAAATTGCGTTCGGAGGCCGTGCACCTGCGCTCCGCGGAGGTGTTGCTGGTGCTGCGCAGGTGCTCCTGAATAAGAAGCTATAGGTGTCCTCAGCTAGGGCCGAACCGTGCCACAGCAGTTCTGTTTGCTGGTAGACGATAGCCTGTCTCCTCTTGGTGTGTTGAATATTGTGGAGGCAGCAGACTCGGGCACAGCTGGGACTTCAGTCTAAAATTTAGGGCCAGGTCAGAATGCATCCTTCGGTCCCTGTTTCATTGTCGGCAATGTGACAGGGAGTTTTACTGGCAAATGTTCGGGAAACTGACGAAGTACCCCATCCGAAGCGGACACGAACAGTACCCGTACACCCTTCGAACGGTCGGTCGCATGAAAGCACTGTGTCATGAGAGCATTGCCTCATGCACGCAACATTAGATTAAACCGTGTAAGGCATGACTTGAAAAAGATGCTGTGCAACCGTTTGCACCGCGCGCCCACATGCATTGTCGAGACATCGCTAAGATACTCGGCAAGCACCCGAAAGTCCATAAACCATACTCGGAGATAAGACATCCTCAGGCGCTGCAGAACATCAGCCCGCACGGGAGTCTCGGTGGCTTGCCTTTGCCTTGAGCTACAGTCAGCTATACGAATCTGTAGTCGCATATGTCCTGCTAAATCAATGAATGTAGCATTTCAGAATATCATATATCATCCAACAACCTACACGGCTGGCGCAAGATATCGCAGCTTGTTTCCGGATGGCATGTGAACCGCTAGCGATCTTGTTTAAGAAAGGCTTGCTATTGGATGTGTCACCGTTAAGTTTGCAACTACCCAAAGCTTATTAATATGAACTTGAATACAGGTATGCCAGAGGCAACACACGGTAGAGATATCAAAGCTTCGTCAAGAGACTGCTGCACAGAATCAACAGCTTCAATGCCAGCATGCTCAGCATGCAGGTCTGCCACGTTGGAAAACATGTGCTGGTCCGCCCCCTTCAAAACTGGTACACCACCCTTCGGTATCCAAAACCGGGTTTGCATCACAGTTTTGGTTGCAGCTCAGTCTAGGCTGATACGGGCCGACATAATATCTGCTGCTACAGCTCCATGGCCCCGGAACCGAGCGCTGCGACTCTTTTGGTATCTGCCATGCCACACTTGGAAGATGCTTAAACAAAGGCAGCCCGTTCGACTGGAAAGATCCAAGTCAACTTACCTGGGAATTCTCAAAGTTTTGACCCGTCCGCTCGGGCTCGGACAATCTCATTTCGAAAGGTGTCCAACTGCGACCAAAGCTCCATGAAAGCTTGCAGAGCATACTGTAGGTTCCAAACCCGGAGCTCTGAAGAGGCCCTGCTTGCCCCAGGTGAGCTGCGGGCCCTGCTCCGCGTCTTCATCCTCCGAGGCCCAGACCTTGCGAAAGAGGCCTAAACTAAAGCCCCGGGCCTAGAGGATCCCTTGAGGTTTACTGTGAGGGTTAATATGTAAACCCTAAACTTCGCAAGGGAGGGGGGGTGAGCAATCAGTACTAGTATCCAGTACCCACATCCTTCCGGTCGAGGTTGCTTGAGGGCTTAAGTACCACACGTCTCAACCCTTGCAGGGTATATTCTACCCCAAACTCAATTAGAACTAAAACCACTGTTGGCTGGTTCGGGCTCCGCTTTTTAGGCCTCCTGGAATACCGGGATGACGAGCTGGTGCCCACGAATGTGCTACTCAAGGAACTCGACACCCTGCGGCAGGCGCCTTGACTTCCCACTGGTGGGAACGCTGAAGCTAGCTCAGGGACAGAGAATGCAGACTGAGAGAATAAAAAGCGTACTGTAGTGGGTTTCTTATGTTTCTTGCATGGGGGATGCATGTTGTGTTGGCTTAGGCGGTGTCTGCAACACTCGGTTTGAGCCTGCAAGCTGCAGGCACCACCTCGCACACCTGAGAGGAGGAAGAGTCCTGGGCGAATCTATTCGCAGATTTAATGTGGCCACAAGAGCTGGCCGGAGGGAAGTGACGGGCATTTAGGAACAATCTTTAATGTGGACGCCAATCCCAGGCGTTGCCTCTCTAGCCGGCTCCTTGGCTGTAAGAATTCCAGAAGGCACGCGCTCTGCAAGCATATGTTGTAGTAGACTATGATATACGATGATGAACTATAGTATACTCTAATTGAAAGTTAGACTCGCCGCAAAACCGTTGTCCTGATGCTGTAAGTGGTGAAGGTGCCTTCAGCAAATCGCCGATGCGGTAGGAGACTGGCCGTTCAAATTTCACAAGCACATATTGTCGACGAGAGATGTCGATGATCACTTACCCACCAACCTGCTGCCGGCAGGTGTTTTGCTTGGTCCCTAGACTAGGCTGTGACAACGGCAAGGACATTTGATAGTATGATTCCGATCGGCAGCAGCGGTGCATACCACACAGCCTGGCTGTGTTTTTGCTCGAGTACCAAAGTCCCCAGTCATCAAGGTGGCTGCCTCCACATTCACAGGGATAGAATGTTGCCTACTGGCGAGGCTTCTATGAAAAAGGTCATCAGACAGAGCGTTCTACGAATTTGGATGTCTAGATGCTCCCTGAAGGAGTTTCAGCGGCCACAGGGACACCGCGAGTATGTCGTGACATTCCCGAAGCTGCTACAGCCCACTAGCTCAGCAGCTTCACGGACCCACCTGGGTTGAGACGTACTTGTGTCTGACAGCACTGTGGTCTGCTTCGGCCCAGTGCTGATCCTAACACGACCAAATCAATCAGAGAAGTTCCGATGTTGCTTCGCGAAAGAGACCGCCCGTTGCATCACGCACCTGAAAGCTACTGCCTGTGTCGGCGAGGAGCTACCACGGTGGATATGCGCGGGTTTTCTTAACCACTTCTGGCCTTTGTCTTCACCGGTACTGGAGTCCACGGCAACGTAGCCGAAACCTCGTACAGGCTCGCTTCCTTCAAAGAGTTCCACGCCCTACATTCTAACCATGAAGCTGTGAGCCAAAACGCCCAGAGTCGCTTAAGGACCCAAGCTTCCAGTGCAGTGGTTCGCCCTGTCCTTGATTGCGCAGGCGCGTTCGGGGTTTCGTTTTTATGTGAGAGTTTCTACGGCACATAGGTTCCGTTTGGAGGGTGCGGAGCGCAGGTATCGGATCCTCAAGTTCGTAGCGGCTGCAGACTTGGGTTTTGTGTCGGGTCTTGGGATGGATGCTGCGAGCTGTCACAGACCTCTCGCACGGACAACTTCGTCGCCTTTGGGGCCGCAGGAGTGGGTACATCCCGACCCCTGGAACTGTAAACCCTCAATCAGCCGCAAGAGCTCGAAAAAACGATGAACTGTTGCCAGTCCGCCGGCCTTCTGTGCCAGCTGATCTGCGGCTGGACCGTCCTTTCAGGCTCGGGCTAGCAAGGGTTTTGTATTCTTCGGAACAATGCCGTGCCGTAAGGAAGGTGGGTTCATAGGGCCTGATGTTGGGCGTGGTACAGCGGCCTTCCAGGAACTTTATTGGGCACTATGCCGGACCCTTGAGTAAGGGCCAACTCTCAGGGATTAGGGCTTGCAATTTGGGAGAGCAGGATCCAAGCTACGGCGTTTTACGGCGGGCCTGTGGCGACGTCAGTGAGGGCGTCCTAATGCGACGGGGTGGATCTGCACCGGGAGGAAGGGATGCGACTAAATCCTCTCGTTTGCATGCACAGAAATAACTCACGGAAAACCTGGAGCGCACTTTCACAAAGATTTTCACAGACGGAAGGTAGGCAGGAAAGCGTAGCAAGCAGAAAGGCAATACGGCAGAAAGAAACGAGAGATGGGGTCAGCGGGAAGTAAACGTGGCTGTACAAGAAGAAGACGAAGGACAGACTGCAAGGTTCTTCATTGTTCTTTGCTTGCTGCGCGGTCTGGCTCGGGCCGGCAGGAGTTTAGGCTACAAGAAGTTAATCTTGAGACTGCTTCGTGTTGTCATGCAGACGGCAGACTGCACGCTAAAACGTCCACGAAGCTTCCCGAGCAAGTTCTATCTGGCTCACTCCGGGTCTGAGGAAGCTTGGGTGTCGCTGTTCAAGGTGGAGTGCAAAGAGATGTCAGCAACGGGACGCTCCCTTTTGATTATGTCGGAGCCTGTCACATGTTTCCTCGACTCCGGAAGAAATGTCGCGAAACCAAGCGGCTCCGGCCTTAGACTGGCCAGTCGCCTGCCAGGCTGTTGTTTGCTCTTCTTCTACGGCTGTGAGTTGGTTTGCCACTTGCGGCCAGCTCAGCCTCCATAGCATTCCAGCAAGGCAGAGCGGAGCATGCCTCAGCAGATTGACATGGCTGAGAAAAAACGAAGAAAGAAGCACATCACACAACTTGTTGGGACGCGATGTCCCAGGTTTTACTACAGCAGCACGGTTGTGGCATGGAGCTCAGCTGGGCCACAGGCTGAAGGCAGTCCACGGCGGGAAGCAGGGATAGGGTGAAGTTGGCGAACCAGCCCAGAAAACGATCAAGTCTGTCTGACTCTGGGACCTCCGGATCCTCTCAGACCAGGTTGAACCTGCGTAACGCAAAGCTTCAGCGCTTACCTTCAAAAGAGCACAAGCCCGAAGCGTGAAACCTCGCCTAAGGAAAACAGCACGACTACACTGCCGACCCTGAGCATGGGTGCACTGGTGATCTGGTTTGTGCAACGCCCAGCTGTGACTGCTACGGGTACTTTTAGTGCCACAGGACTTGTCAAGAGATAGGCGCTGCACGAATATGTAGATGTATACTGGTAGTAGTAATCCATGTGGCAATTACTCTGGTGCAGCGACTAGCGACGATGCGCTCGTAGTGGAGGATTTCGGCTATGACATATTTATAGGAGCACAAGTATGCATACGGACTCAGCACGTTCAAAACATCTACTGTACAACGGAAAAACCCATCTTGCTCAGAGCATTACTTGTAGTTGTAATGCTGATCGCAAAGTTGCCGCGCCTTCCACTGTCAATGTAGGATGCCTGGCTGTCTGTGATAGGAGTTAGTAGTTCACCCATGTTCTGGATACAAGCACAGCAAGGTGCTCAGTGGGTCAGGCACTTCCTACGGCTACATGGATCTCGGCAGGACCCCGGGCCATTAAACATCAAAGGGCTGCATTGCTTGATGAATCTCGGCTTCCAATCAGCTGCTGTGTTCATTTCAGGTTCCCCCTCGGTCTGAATGTCTCTGGAGTCCGATCTGTAACGATTTGGAGCCGCTTTCGCCAGATTCTACACGCCCTGTGTCAAGTGTGTTGAGTGTGGTGAAGCTTATATAAACACTAGCGAAGTCCCACGGTTTGGCTCTTTGCGCCGCATAAGTGCCAGATGGGGCGGCCTTTTCTGGGTCTGCGCATCTGGAGTACTTGGCGGCAGCCTTAGCATTTCGTGCTCTTCATGTCAATGCACGGCTTCGGCTTGTCAGCTTATCAAGATGCTGGCCATGCAAGTGTGATTTGAAGAGATGTCTCCCATGACATGAAACGGTTTCGGTAACATTGAAACACGATCACGGTGCATCAAAACCGGACACAGGCATTGTCTTCGGTAAGTTCTTCCTGGACTTCCTGAAGGCTGGAGCTCGGGCTGACGTCATTTCCCCTGTCACGCCTTCCTGACAGATGTGCCCAGCCCCATGCTGTTTTGAGGTCCAGCCACTGGGCGAGAGCCGTCCTTTGACTGCTCAAGCTTCTCAGAGTCTTTGCTTCAATGGCTTGGCATTGCAGTTCGGGGTGAACGCAGCTATATATCTATCATAGGCGGGGCAGGGATGAAGGTGTCGGTGACACTGGATTCGAGCTTTATCTGATGTGTTGTGCCGTGGCTTGTTTTGTGTTCAGGTCAGTTTGTACATGTGCAGAGGCTCCAGCTCGTGCTGTGAAGCCAATCAGTTCGGAGACTTGTACTGCATCCGACTTCCTTATTATCCGATTCCGGAAGCCCGCTTCTAGATCTGAGGAAGCAGTTTGTTCTGGGCCTGAAACACTACAGCCAAGGAAAGCAGCTGCAGCAGGACGATGTTCGAAGCTATTTTCGACAGTCGTCAAGGTTTTAACTTCGATGGAAACTTGTAGAAGTCAATTGTTTCTGGCAAGGGACGGCCCAAGCGGTTTGTGAGCCCAAAGACTATCAGATATTTCGCAGCGGTGTCTGGTCAGTCATTGCATCACGGGTTGAGTCTTGAGATTGAAGAGATCCGAGAGCCCATTGTGTTAAACACTCTCTCAATTTTAGCAGCTATTTGACTCGGAACCGGGCTGGTGTGGACAGCAACTAGAACAAAAGATACTGCACGATGCTGCCATCACCATCGTGATCATGGTGATGGTGATGTCAACATGATGGCCGTCAGCGCCAGGAGCTGCCAGCGAATCTAGCGGCAAGCCAGCTGCGAGTGTCTAGACGGGGGTGAGGCTTCACATAGCTATGATCAGTGATGATCCGCAGTAGCTCCAACTTGTTGCGTGTCGTGTCCTCCTTGTTCTTGAGATAGTTGGCAAGTCCTCGTACCGAAGCCAGTTTCTCTTCATCACCCATTACTTCCAGAGTTTTACTCCGTTGGTCTCGGTGTTTTCTTGTTGGTCGTGCACTTGGAGCTACCGTTTCAGCATGCCTGGCAACGTACACCCGCTACGGCCGCTGCACTTGAAGCATAGAACGTGTCACTCAAGCTGGAGTATGTGCAGGGACATGCTGAGCGCATGAGCACATGTGTGTAGAACAGGTCGACTCCACATCTGTTGTAGAGAAGTTCCAGATGCTTTTTCTCAGACTCCAACGTCTGTCATGTTTTGCCTGGATCACCAAGTACTGCATTGCACTGTTTGGGACACGGCTAATTGAGGACTGATGGTGCTGCATCACTTTGTTTGGCCGAAGCTTTCAGGTCTCAACAGGCTGAACACAGTAGGAGTTTATTCTATCATGCCAAAACTACAATGTGTCGACAAGCCTGCCGCAGCAAGAGCTTCTACCCGCGCCAGCCCTACGCCACATCCAGCTGCAATCTCACTGCGGTGCACGGTCATGAAGATCTAAAGCCCGTCTCTGTGCCAAACAACTACTGAGAGTGGTCAGCAACTCATACCTCAAAAGCGTGTCGCGACATTGCGTCTCCTGCTTCGGAAGACATGAACTTGGCCGTAGCCCCAGCGGCAGTGGTGGTAAGCGCAATGGGCAGGTAGCATGAAGTGCGCGCAGAAAAGCAATCAGCAAGGCAGGTGATGATACATCCTTGATTCAGGAAAGGAAGTCAAGATCAGCCGAATGGTGGACTCGTGGAGATGAGGATCCTATAAATGTCGTGCAACAGTGGCTGTCCATCCCACGCTCGGTTGTTCTTATCACCCGTTTCACGAATCTCACGATAAGATCTCCAGAGTCCAGAGACCGAAGATACTGCCGTTCCTGCCGCTGCATCTTGCAACCAATATGTCTCAAACTTCCAGATCAGCACTTCACCATACATATGCCTTTACAGCTACAGGTATATGTGTGTATATATATATACACATAAATATGTTGGTATGTATGTATACATGTATGTATACATGTATGTACACATGTATGTATGTATGTATTAATGTAATGTAATGTAATGCAATGCAATGCAATGCAATACAATGCAATGCAATGCAATGTAATGTAATGTAATGTAATGCAATGTAATGTAATGTAATGCAATGTAATGTAATGTAATGTAATGTAATGTAATGTATTGTAATGTAATGTAATGTGATGTAATGTAATGTAATGTAATGTCATGTAGTGTAATGTAATGTAATGTAATGTAATGTAATGCAATGTAATGTAAAGTAATGTAAAGTAATGTAAAGTAATGTAAAGTAATGTAAAGTAATGTAAAGTAATGTAAAGTAATGTAAAGTAATGTAAAGTAATGTAAAGTAATGCAATGTAATGTAATGTAATGTAATGTAATGTAATGTAATGTAATGTAATGTAATGTAATGTAATGTAATGTATGCATGCATGTATGTTCGTATGTGTGTATGTGTGTATGTATGTATGTGTGTAGCTGTACGTAGCTGTATGTAACTGTATGTCACTGTACGTACCTGTGTATGTATGTGAATATGTATGTATGTATGCATGTATGTATGTATTTGTATGTAACTGTATGCATGCATGCATGTATGTATGTAGTATGTAACTGTGCATGTCTGACTGTCTGTCTGTATGTATGTCTGTATGTACTTGCCTATTAATCTTTAGAGTACAGTATACCTCAAAGTCCGATCCTGAGCATTTAAGCCCCCTGTGTTAGCCGCCCAGGTGCCGACAGGAGATGCAGTCGAGCTGAAAGGCCACACGCTCGTCTTGCCCGGATGTGGAGGCTTGGCTTGAGACTTGAAGTCGGCAAAGACTCGTCTGTAGGGTTTCTGGATTTAGTGAGTTTTGGGGTTCAGGGTTCAGGGTTCGTGGTTCAGGATTTCGATGTATGATACAACTGGAGAAGTCATGGGTTGATGCGCCCATACATCCCAAATGCTAGCTAGGCTAATCCCTCCTGAGGCCATCTCAATACCTGCGAGCCAGATGAGGATTGGTTTGTTTCGGTGCTTGTTTCCGGGCTCATTTTACGAACGAACTCCGACTACAACAACCTGAAGAACGGCGGCTTAAGAATCTAGTACAAGCTGGCTGTAGGCACCTTAAACGGCTCATGACTCATAGTTGCTGCTGCTGACTCATGACTCATGATAGGTCTGGCTTTTTATCCTGACACTAATGCCCTGAAGTGGCATTACGGCATGCCAGAGGAGATAACTCGTAACTCCGAGCCTGCACCATGTCAATTGTTGTGGAAGTTGGACTGCTGAGTGGCAAGACAGCTACTGTGGAAGTCGGCTTGGAAGAACAGGTGGAAACACTAACGCATCGCGCATGCACTGCACTGGGCGTCGGAAGGGGGCGGCTGGTCGACTCGTCCGGAAGCGTTCTGGACGCGCGCGCACTGATAAGAAATGCCTGGGTGCATACGAGTGAGCCGTTGACCTTGCACGTAAACCAAGTTCAAATATGTGCCACTACTGCGGCTTTTGCTGCCATTCTTGGGGATGGATCGGTCGCGACCTGGGGTCAAGCCTCCCTTGGCGGTAACAGCAGCGCCGTGCAGCCTCAGCTGAAGAATGTGCGGAAGATCCAGGCCACTGACGCTGCCTTTGCTGCCATTCTTGACGATGGGTCCGTCGTGACGTGGGGTGATGCGGATTCTGGTGGAGACAGCAATGCTGTGCAGACAAGGCTGAAGAATGTGTCGCAAATCCAAGCCTCTGCCAGCGCTTTTGCGGCCATTTGTGTCGGCGGATCAGTCGTGACCTGGGGTTTTGCTGGCGCTGGTGGTGACAGCAGTGCCGTGCAGGCACAGCTGCAGAATGTGCAAAAGATCCAAGCTTCTGACAGCGCTTTTGCTGCTATTCTTGGCAATGGATCTATAGTAACCTGGGGTTCCACTCGTGGCGGTGCAGCTAGTATTACCGTGCAGGCTGAGCTGAAAAACGTGCAGCAGATCCAAGTCTGCATCTGTCCTTTTGGCACAGCTTTTGCTGCCATTCTCGGTGACGGATCGGTCGTGGCCTGGGGTTTTGCTGGCGCTCCAGGTGACAGTTTTCCCGTGCAGGACCAGCTGAAGAATGTGCAGCACATCCAAGCATCTGGCCATTCTTTTGCTGCACTTCTTGTTGATGGATCTGTCGTGACTTGGGGGGTTGCTGGCAGTGGGAGTGACTGTGGTGCTGTGAAGGATCAGCTGAAGAATGTGCAGCAGATCCAAGCCTCTCAGTCCGCTTTTTCTGCTCTTCTTGCCGATGGATCCGTCGTGACCTGGGGTGAAGCTGGTGCTGGTGGTGACAGTGGTCCTGTCGCCGCACAGCTGAAGGGTGTGCAGCATATCCAGTCCAATGACCGAGCTTGTGCTGCCATTCTTCGGGATGGATCTGTCGTGACTTGGGGTGATACTCGCCGCGGGGGTGACTCTAGCGCGGTGAAGGATCAGCTGAAGAATGTGCAGCAGATCCAAGCCAATAACCGTGCGTTTGCTGCCATTCTTGGTGATGGATCCGTCGTGACCTGGGGTGAAGCTGGTGCTGGTGGTGACAGTAGTGCTGTGCAGGATCAGCTGAAGAATGTGCAGCAAATCCAAGCAAATAGCCATGCTTTTGCGGCCATTCTTGGCAATGGATCCGTCGTGACCTGGGGCCGGGCTGCCTTTGGTGGTGACAGCGGTGCCGTGCAGCATCAGCTGAATGTGCAGTAGACATGATGCTGTATCGCAGTTATGGATAGTCATGCGAGGTTGGCAAGCTTCTCGGCAGCTCTCGAATCGTCAGCACTGCAAAGACGCAGTATCGAAGCGAAGACAAGCCAGCACCCTGTACTGCGGCTGAAATAATTATCATCATGCTACTCACGAACCCCCACTCTCAACTGTTCCGCCCGGCCCAGGCCCTGAGGGATGCAGGATTCTTAGAGAACCCCAAGCAAGCACCTCAACTAGGGACGCTGCATCAACTATCAAAAGTCTCAGCGGCAGCGGGCTGTCCCTTCGGCTTGCTGACCAAAGCACACCCCAAGCAGAGCTCGATAACTGGACGGTTCTTTTTTACATTCTGCACGGTCACGGTCAGATGTCGCTTTAATGTGATCAGATCGATCGTTCAAAACGAACCCCCCTGCTCGGCCGAGAAGGGGTTTGCTATTGCCGAGTTTTGCCGCGATCGATGCTTTCCATTCCGTTTGAGCACACGGCTCGGCACACGACCCGACCACACCCGAACATGCCCTCAACAGACAAGGTGCCTGTATGCAAGGAGCTGACGCGTAACACACTTTCAGGCAAAGCTTTAAATCCTTAACCCGTGGGTCCGCAGGCCTGGCGTCTGACAGGGTCGGTTCAAATCCACGGGAGCGCTTGGAAACCTCCCAATCGGACCCACCAAACTGTGTTCCCCGGCCAAGCCTCCGTTTCCCGACCCGGGACCCGATGTTGTTTGTGTTTCTGCCCAAAGATGTCAACGACGCCAGATGCAACACGCACAGGCCAAAATCATCAGGCCATACTAAGACCCAAGACCTTATTAAGCTTCACGCAGTTTTCAGCCGGTCTCTTGCATTGTGGCTCGGGCCGAAAGTCTCGCAGACGTTGGCGAGTTTGAGAGGTGTCGGAGTTGCTGCATCTTGCCGTTGCAGTTGCGGGGCTTGGGGATGTAAGTCTTTGAAGCCCTGAGCGCAAATCACCCAAAACTCATATTCGATCAACTTCAAAGACCCTATGTGGAGATCCTTGCCCCTTTGTGGCACATAAGTTTTGGGATTTCGGAGGAAGTCAATGTTGATGATTGAAGACTTGGCCCCCACCCAACCCCAAAGGCCCTGGTTGATTGAGAATCGCCAGAAGCCCTGAAGGCATAGCCCACCTTGGAGAGTTGGCGGTGGACGCTTTGATCTCCAGCTTTGACCTCCAGCGGGTAGCGATTGCCCGCCGGCAGCAGCCGTAGCAATAGAAACTGTGGTAGACAGTGACACATGGCAGAAAACGTAGCAAAGTGTGAGCAGACTAACGATAGCGATATAGTGACTATAATATTGTGGCGAAGAGCTGTTTGTGTGACGAGTCAGCATCTTCATACTCAGATGAACTATCTTCTTAATCGCAACAGTCGTGGCTTCTTCAGTTCACATGTACTCAGGTGGGCAAACCTGGCAGGGGGAAGCATCAAATGATCCCAGAAGACTAGAGCCCATGTGAGCCCATGCCCAAATAATTCCAACATTTATCTTCCAGGTGCAGCATCGGCACATCCTCCCTGTGGCCATGGCCAATGCCTTCGAAGGGCCCGGGGCTTTGTTGGGGTTGTTGGGGTCGTGATTGGTTTGGAGCTGCTGGGGTGTAGCTCGTTCAACGTGTGTACGGTTTGCGGGTGTAGGCTCTTTGGGGTGCTGAGGTGGTCAAGGTTGTTAGGGCATTTAAGGCTTTAAAGTTTTGGAGTTGCAGGGTGCCGAGGGATGCTGAGAAAGTTTTGCATGTTTGTGCCACTTTTGCGTCTTATGATGTCGTAAGTCTAGCTTCCCCACGTTTGCTTGCATGCTCGTGATCAGTGTGGTGGGGTGAACTGCCTTTAAGCGAAGTTGGTACGTCTTTGGGTCTCGTCGAGTCTATAGTTCACGCGCAGGAAAGTTCCTGCCATCACGACAGCTGCAGAGCTCTACCAGGCACGAGAGTTGAGGCATTCAAAGCTCTGGAGGTGATGAAGATGTCAGTCACCTTATCCTACCCCCACCTTCCTCCCCATCGCAGGCCCCGAGCATGCCAATGCTGTCGATGCTTCAACTTCGATCGGGGGCAGCGGAGGGAAAGCGCCAGACGCTTGCAAAGGCGGGACCTCCCAGTGAGGCTCATGTTGGTAGCATGTAGACAAATTTATCCTCTTAATTAAAGAGCGTCGCCTCAGGAGCTGCTCCGCTGGGCTCAGGATGCAGGAGTTCAGACCCCAGACAAACTGCATCGGCCGACAAGCAGCTTTCTGACGCACTTGTATTGATGACAGACGGAGTGTCACTTGCACCAGGTCTCCCAAATTCTGATCCTGGCACCGTGTTCTGCACATGCTGCACGGCTGGCATGCCGTTATGGTGGGTTTGGATTTCTTCGATTCGGTTGCCATTCGCAGACGAAGTGTGTAAGCTTCTTACACTCACAGCAACGACAAAGTGGTGCTTTGGCATGTTTTGTGCAAGAGCAGTCAAGTCCACATTTCGGCATATGGCTGAGTGATGGCTGATTGTAGAATAGCTTGTGTGACGTTATTCTTCCACGGTTCAGCTGCATACCAAGCTCAGAACCGTTGTTAGCAGCTGTTGAGTCAGTCGAAATGCGCGCCCATGCAAACAATGCAAGCCTGGACCTGGACAGCAACCACATTCCGAACCAGCATTCCGCCGCTGAGCGTGTCCATGTTGGCAATCCGAATGTCTCAGGACTGACGTAGGCATGTTCGCAAACGCGCAAAGCCAAACTTGGTACGGGATGCCAAGGCATAGTCTGGCGAGGCACCTTTAAAGGGCTGCCGTGTGCGGTGAAAGTCATGAAGGCTGAGAAGCCGTATGCTCTAGAGATACGGAATTTTCTGGAAGAGGGCCGGGTGATGGCAAGTGTCGCACATCCGTGCATAGCATCGTGTTACATGGTGACATGTAGGCCTTATCCAGCGATTATTTTGCAACTACTGGGGCCGGCCAGTGGGCGCTGCATGAAAAGTGGCTTCACTGTCGCGTTTTGTGGAGCAGCAGGCGCATTGGATCATCTCCACAAGAACAGCATAGTGCACCGAGATGTGAAGCTTGCCACCTGTTGCGAACCGACCGCAACACCTACCGCGTTAAATTGATTGATTTCGATGCGTGTGAGTCGCTCTAACAGGAAGCGGCTCACAGACCTGGCACCCTGTTTTATGCCCCCATGCCCTGGACAGATTGGGGCCGTGTGCAGCTGGACCATTATGCTTTCGGCGCCTCGTTCATGGAGCTGTTGGGAGAGCGGGAATGCGAGGTAAGCCATGACTTTGCCCGGCATTTGGCCACCGATCCATTGCAGAAACTGATGCAAAACGTCCCATTTGACATCATGGAGGTCCTCCGGAGTGTCACTTCCCCTGGTCCAAAAATTGACCGTGGAGGGGGGTAGGGGTAGCAGGCAACGCAGACTGTCAGTGCACAAAAATGCCAAGACCCAAATGAAGGCAGAAGCCACACGGTTTCGAAAGAGAGCCTCAATGTCCATCAGTCACTCCTCGAATATAGAATTCTGCACGGCGACTTAGGTAAAGCGCGACGCAGACCTCAGGGCAGCGTCGCAACTGCGCGTGCTGGCCTCTCCGGCGTCCGACCTTCCCGCACAGCTTCTACCGCTGGGGCATGAGATGAGTGCCCCGGTCAGCATGGGCTCGTTGCTGCTTTCTGCTGATCCGGTGTAGATGGCGTTGGCCAGTTTTGCTGGGATGGGGTCGCGCACTGCACAAGCTCCGGGGGTCGGAACCCGTTGTCAGTTCGCAGCACGCAAGTAAGCTGCTCTTCACTCAAGTCTTGTAGGGCGTACTTTGGACATGCAGGAATGCATGTTCTGCGATGTGCTGTGCGGTTTTGAGGTAGGACATGTGCGACATCAGTGACTTTTCTCGTTTGCAGAAGGCTTCAAACGAAGTTCCTCCAACTTCCCACATGCTTACACACAAGTATGGATCCCTGCTGACTAACATAGTCAAGGATATGTTGCTCGCTTGTATGAGTACATTGAATCCAAAGATAGGGGTAGTAAAAGATGTCAGGACATATGAAATTAATGATCAGATATGTTGCGATGTCTTATTCTTCTGCGTTTTAAAATTAGAATGCCTCGCTGACTGCTTTCTGAAACGACAGAATATGTAAGCCAGGGCATCCTGAAGCAATCCCTTACTACTTAATTAAGCCTCCAGACCACCGTGTACCCATTACCCTGAACCTTGTTAAGGCCATAGAGAACTCTTGGACCGAACCCCAGACCCGACCTAAATCCTGATCCCTAAAGCCTACACGACGCCCTGAACCCTTTACAGTAATTAAGCAAAAACAGCAATCCTAAACACTGAACCCTAAGCCCACCCTGACCGACTCAGGTGAGGTAGAGCTCGCTGGTTTGCCCGGGAGCGCGGCTGCCGCGCGGGCGCTTCTGAGAGGCCACCGTTTTGCAATTACTGAACCATTGTATATGCGCACACATGCCGCACATATGCATACATAAACATGTGCAGAGATAGATAGAAAGATAGGTAGATAGGTAGCTAAGTAGATAGATATATGTGTGTATGTGCATACTTTATTACATATATATCATATATGTGTGTGTGTGTGTGTTACATTGGCTTTCGTTTTTTGTCAGCACTCCTACCTAAGCATTTCATCGCCCCAGAAGTTGGACAGTGGACATTTCTCTCGTGGGTCAGGATATGTGCAGACGACTAGGCAACAGTTCAAAAAAGCTGCAGCTTACAAGGGCTCGCTTAGACGGCGGATTTATGTCCAACGAATCACTTACCTCTGTCACGGCTGTCTGTCTCCATAGTTGCTCTTGCTGTTGTTGTTGCCGCTGCTGTTGCTGCTGCTGCTGCTGGTCATGGTCGCTATCCCTGTCGTTATCGTTGTCGTTGTGGTTGTTGTCGTGGTGGCAGTGTGGTGGTGGCGGCCGCAGCGGTGGTGGTGGTGGTGGTGGCGGCGGCGGCGGCTGTCGTAGCAGCATGCACTATCAATCACCCGCATGAAAGTCCCCCAGTCCGTGCAACAGGCAGCGGGCTGGCTCGACCGCTCATCGAGGCAAGGTTTCCCAGACTCGGACTGGTACAGCAATGCAAATGTTGTTGTTGGACCTTTCCCAGTAGGATGGGAGAAAACATGGCTGTATTGCGACGCGATGTTTGCAATATGGCTGTCCGCGATCCTTGCCCCTACAATGGTTCAGCATCTGCATGTTCTATGCCATGTACACAACCATGCAGGGTCTTGGTCGGTGAAAAGATGACACTGAAGGGTTTTGTGTCGGCGGTCTGCAAGGGGCGTGCCGCAGCTATGCAAGGCTATGCAACCAACACAACCTGCAGATGCCTGCGGCTCTTGTAGCATGGACTCCAGAAGTTTGCAGGAATTCCCGTCCGCGGAGACCACTTTAGTTTCCACGATGATCTTTCCCACGCCAACCGTACAAAAGTTGCAAGCTAGATAAAACTGACAATATCTTCAAGTCTTGTAACATCGCCACGCAAGATCCGACTTGATGAATGCAGTTACAGTTACAAGCTTGTCCATTCATGCGCAGGCTTCGGAGGGTTTGAAGCTCCCAATAGAAGTATCAAGCCTCGAAGCCCGAAGTCCTAAGTCCCTAAGCCCTAAGCCTTGAGCCCTACGTCCTAAGTGCCGAGCAGCAACCGAGCCCCACAGGCGGCGGCAGAGCCGCACTCCCCGAGCTTCTCTCCGCCAAGCCGCGTAGCCCCGAGCAGGAAGCTCAAAGAATGGTAATATAGAAAGACATCATCATATAGTGTTATTGTATAATACAATATAACACACTACGACACAATATAGTGTCATGAAATACTTGCAGACTTGGGATGAGGAATTTGGGGCGGCATGGAGAGTAGAGTGCTGAAGGTTTGGGCCCGGGCTCGTGGCTGTAGAGTGAAGCTTCGAAGTCCTCCAAAGATGTCGAGACGGTATTCACGAGGTTGGAGGTTGGTGGTGTGTGTAATAAGCAGATCTTAAGTAATTAGGCTGCCGATCTCTCTTTGGGGTGTTGGAGCCGTCGTCCGCGCCTGAAAGCCAACTGCAGCAGAAGAGCCTGAAGCACTAATGGGATTTAGATGTTGGAGAATTGGAGCCCAAGACACGCTGCGAGAAGTGTCTACGGACTTGCCGCAACCTGTTCGCATCGCTTGCAGAAAGGCGTGCCAGGAGTATATGTAGATGAGCCAGGGCCACGATGAGTAAGTTCACAGCGGCAACTGAGAAAGCTCAGACAGAACCGAACCCGTACCTGTACGCTGCATAGAAGGGCAGTGAAGTAAGCTTCCGCTCACAGCAATTCGGATTGAAGAATCCTGGCCGAGTGTTCGTCCTAAGGTGTTTGTTGCATATGCGGCTTCACCAACGAAGCGGCTCGGCCGCGGTTACGTGTCCACACGCCTTCCATATTATGGTGCTTGTTTGGGTTTGCTTGTGACTGATCACACTGTGGCTGGTGGCAGAAACTGTCACCTGCATGGGTTCGAGCCCCATGACTCCGAGAATCCACCTGCTGCTTGTTCATGTACGTCGAGTTGCATGTAGTTGCTGCCTGGTCATGTGCACCCGCCCCTGTTACGCAAGCACTGCCACCATCCTCAAATTTTGGTCATTTGCCCCTGCTCGGACCAACAAATCTACGACCTAAGACTTGAGATATGCAGCCAAGACCTTGGACTGGCGTCTCCCAGAAGAGATGGTGAAGGCTGCCTGCGGCTGTGCGGAGCACAGTCCGGCCTCACTGGTACAGTAGGGTTGAAGTGTAGGGATGTCAGTCTCAGGGTGGCATTGGTCACACGCGTACGATTCAAGCTGCCGGAGCTTGCTTTGATGGGCCGGCATGGTGCAAAAGTACACCCTCAGTCTGTGATTGGACCGAGATCTTGGCCCTCGCCTGGGGATGGACTGCGCTCGGCCGCTGCTGCCGCCGCCGTCCTGGCAGCTTGCACAGAAGGTGCTCGGCTTCATGAGTCCGAATGCGAAGACCAGTACTACTTTCAGCTCTGCTGTCTAGCGGTTAGCGCTTGCCTCACGACCGGAAAGGTGCAGATGCAGCCACCCATGGAGAATCTGCAGCTGTGGTGAGTGCAGTGCACAGGCTCTCTGAATCAAAAACAGGTTGTGAAAGCGCCCGACTCGCTGGGATTTTGCACTGATCCCCCAAGCAGAAAGCTGCGCCATCCCGCTGCCTTTTGGGCTCAAAAATCTCCCAGCATCCCACTTATCAGGGTGCCTCGGCAAGAAACGAAGGGCCCCAGCTCCAGGACCCAGCTAGAGCAGTTACGGTGCGCAGGTCCTTCACAACCAGGGCAATGTGAGTAGGCAAGGGCAAGGTTTGCAAGTCCACTACGAAGCCTTCCCTATTTCTCCGACAGCACGCGCAGCCTAGGATTAACCCTGGCCTGGAGAACCTTCCCGGTGCGGTGCTTGGCCAGACCTGGGGGCATTTTTAAGGAGTCTGGACTCTTCTCCATAGTAGAAGCCAACTTGAACACGACTGTCATAGTGCTAACGCCCTAGAGGTAAAATATCGCGAATTCAGGTACTAGTCATCCTTATCCCAAGCCGTATCCCATATTCCAACTTTCTGGGGTTCGCTGAAGCCTTGACGGTGCAGGGCCGCATCCGAGACCGAATCATTTATCGCCTGCCGCCCAGAGTCTGACAGTCTAGTGCACAGCTCTAGGCGCAAATCCAAGCAGATGTCGAATGGCTCCGGCTGAAGCGGAGTGTTTGCCGAAAAACGGCGGCGTTCCTGCAAAGAGACAGAGACCAGAGACCGAAGGCATTCGAGACCTCCGAGGATGCCCGGCTCTTGGTTTCTTGCTTTGATCAGGAAGGATTCTACTGTAGGAAGACAGGGGTTGCAGGGCCGGACCTCACCCTGTGATCTTCTCAGGTTCTCACTATCATCCAAGAGCCTTCTGCTCCTCTCTTTTCTGCAGCTACGACTCACTGCCCCAAGCTCAGACTGCGATGACTCACGAGAGCGACAAGCGACCGCTGCAGAATGTCCCTTGCCTTCTTCAGGTCGCCAGTGTCGAGGCCCGGCCCAGGTTAGTGACTTTCATTCACATCCACACACTGATGTAGCATGCAGCAACTGTAAACTCCTGGCGGAGACTATGACTGAGCTGCTCGCAGTAGATGCATGCAGCATTGGCATTACAGACTGATAGGAGACGAGCGCTACATCGCAAAAGATAATACAGCTCTCGCTTTCGCTGCAGGTTTTCGCTCCCAAGGCGAGTTTAAGAGCCACTGTGGACGCCAGCTCCCTACTGAATCCGGCACCGGTCCGGGAAAGAGCTTCGGGCCTAGGGTTAACTTAGGCTTCGGGAACGACATAAACACGGCGACACTACTAACACTAATTCGACTGCCTTGCGACGGCTGAAACTGAAAGGAATTCGTTCTGATTCTCTAGCGCACGCATGCTTTCACGTACGCCTGCTCCTAAGTATCCCTTTCTGTCCATCTGAATTCTCTGCTTCTGATCCTTTGAACCAGAATGTTAGAGTCATTCTCCTAAGCTTGACCCCACGGAGGTTGAACCCGGGGTTGATGACGGTTGATGACATACGTGACGTAATTAACCAGCAGATCAAAGCTGGCAAGAACACGCGTCTACTAGTCCAAACGAGCCGTTCGCCACCGAATCAAAAGCAAAGGAAGCTCGGCAAGGTCGAAATGACTGCTTCTGGCCTCTTCTTGCTGCCTTTGTGCCAAAACCCCCTGAACCCCTAAACCGTAAACCCTGATAGAGGAGAAGAGAATATAGGGGCCTTAGTGGTTACCTTTCCTATTTTGGGGGGTTCCTTAGTATTTATATAGTACAAAGAACCCCAAAAGCCCCATTCTAATTCTGAAGGCCTACATTAGAACCCTGTGCGATTCCTCCGAGGCCGCTACGGCGCAACAGGAGCTCCAGAGTGCCCTGGGGGAGGCGCTGGGCCCGGTCCTCGGCTTTTTGTTCAGGCTTTTGGGAGTCTCGGGGCCTGGGGTTTCGGGTTTTGGGTTTCAGGGTTTGGGGTGTGGGGTTTCAGGGTTTGGGGCTACTTTAGGGCTGGGAAGGCTTCTTCTGTCTGCTTCTGTGGCTTTTCGGGAGTGCTCCTTGATGCCACAGGCGGTGCTGGGGTTTGCTAGGCCACTGTTGCTGCTGTGTTCTCGCCTGGGCCCTCGGACCCATTGTTCCTAGAGTCGACCAGGTTATGCTGCAGCCTTGGCTCATTAGTCGACACCTGAATCTACGAGCAGTGTTGCAGTTCAACACACCTCTGTTGTAAGGGGTAATGCCAAACGCGAGGTAGGAAGATTTAAAGCAACACGCCAAGGTTGCGGCGGGCAGGTGAGCGAGGAGCATCTTCAGGCAGCGTAAACACGGTCTACTTCATAGACGAATTCCGGAGTTTGCTGGTGCATGTGATGTTCATGGTGGATGAATATTTGATGTCGCTTGGGACGAATATGGCAGCACGTCTCTCTGGGCACATCGAAGCAACTGCCTCTTGAGACGTCTCGTGCTGAAGCAGTACAGAGCCTCTGCGAAGCACCTTATGTAGATGGCTAGGGTTCTTGGGGAGAGTCCACATGGCAGGACATCGAAAACTCTCTGATGTCTATGCAGCGGACTCTGCCCCTGAACGGCTTGTACCCCAGACGAACACACCGGTTGGGTCAGACCAGAGACATGCCCTGGAGTGACCCACTGAGGTTCACATTCCAGCTAAGTGGTTCCAGGATTTTGTCGGAATTGGAACTAGTGGTTTGGCTTCGAGTATCAGCTTGAGCAACTTCTGCGAAATTCTGTCTGTTGTGGTAGCTCCGGACGCCCGCCACAAAATCACCTGCTTCACCCCAAACCCACAAAAACAGCCTGCAAGACCAGGTCAGGGCCGCTTTGATCGCCGTTCTCTGCGTCATCTTGCCTACAGGCGAAATTTGCGGTGAGATTTCTACCCTTCGATTCTGAGCAGCGAGAGCTCACGTTTGGACTGCACCTGGTTATGACATTGCCGAACCCAGAGGTTGCATCGATTCTCTCCAGTCGAAAACCTCGTGATATGCATCTTAGTCTTGGTATTGCTGCTCTCGCGAGTGGGCTGTGGTGCCCCTTTCCATCAAGCATCGCCTAAAGGGAGGCAGGCGGGGTCGGTTGTGTTGAGGCACTGCTTACTATCTCCGGACTACAACGAATGCATAAGCCGAAGCAATCAAAATGGTTTTCCACACGCTACTTGTAGCTACATTCCATACCTTCATACACATATACGTGCCCATGTTGAGAAGTGTACATGTGCAGATGTCTATCCGCTGATACGGCATATGAGCTTTACATTACAGGCATGTGTACATTCGTTTGTGTGCGTGTGCGTGTATATATATATATATATACGTTTGTATGAATGCCGTTTCCCCACCCAGCAGCAAGTGCAGGTATTTCACGCAGCGGTACTCGATAGTGGTCCGATCCCCGGCCAGCGCTTTCACTACTGGCAGAGGTGACAGTGCCTGCTGTGATGGCTTCGGGGCTGTGCCGAGCTACAGCCCTCAATTCGCCTGAGCTCGGAGAGCCCATGCTACAGACATGTAGCATGTAGCATTCTCGAGGTCAGCATTGTAGCCTGGGGCCGTCAGGTACTGCGTATGGAAAAGAAAATATGAACTTACATGGAGTGTGCTCCAAGAGAAATGCAGCTAGTCTGCCAGTCATGGAGCGGTGTGAGATGGTGTTTACATTCTCCTCAGCCCCTGCCTCAGCACAAATCTGAGCACCTCAAGCTCTATGAACCCCGGGAAAATGCAAGTTGACCCTGACAAGCACGGAAACCATAGGTCCGCGGTTTCGAGCCTTCGCTGCCCACATCGGATGACCGTCGCAGCTGGGGACCGCTGATCAGCGCTTTCATCGTGCCAAGTGTTCTGCCTGGTCTCGGATTGGTGGTCATGGCTGATGGCGGTTCGGTTTAGGAGGCCTTGGTGGGTTTGGATTCTGAGTTGTCACTTCAGGGTTTCGATCAGAGGTTCAAACCCCAAACGAGAAACTCCTGTAATTAGAACTCAACTCTGACACAACTTCGGAAGAGAGCGACTTGCCTGCGGCCTTGAAGCCTGAATGCTTCAATTCCTCAGCCACTGTAGCGAAGCTGAGCACTCGTAGGTGTTGTACCTAGCTCTCGTGATTCTCATGCCTGGCCTGCCGAGTTGAAACATGTACGTGTGCATGTGCGTATGCATGTATGTATGTGTGGGTGTGTATGTATGTATATATGTATGTATGTATGTATGTATGTATGTATGTATGTAGGTGTGTAGGTATGCATGTACGTATGTATGTTGGCATGTTCAATCTTATTTGTAATATGCAATATGCAGTAAGAATATGCAACATTGTAAGTAGACTGTAAAGCATATGATATATATATATATATATAATTAACATATATAATATATGTATATAGAAATATATGTATATGAGGTACAATATATAACATGTAAGGTATGTTGTAGGACTTCAACACTGCGCCAGGAAATGCGGCCATCTTGGCCCAGAGGCTCCCTGGCCTGGTCGAGTCCGTGCTGGAGTCCAGGCGCCGTCGTTTGGATATGGACCCCTAATTAGAAGAAGGTTTCAGGTATATTCTACTACGATAGGGACCCCTAATAATTAGAATGTCTTTCACGTTGTCTGTGAGTGCATTAAGGGGCCTTCAAGGAATCGTCGTGATGGTTCTTGCTTCGACACAGCCGTGTTGATGGGCATAGTCGAACATGTCAAGGCTTGTAACAACAATCCGGAGACTGACTTTGATCATGTCGACACCACCCTAAACCCTAAACCACGACAGAGAAATTTGCAGAAGCCTTATAGCATCATGCGAAGTTCTTCCACCTAAATTCGCGATCCCGTGGTCGTCGCAGCTCCTAGGCTTTGCAACTCTTTGCCGGGATCGCAAAAAGACTGACTTTCAGTTCCTGTTCGACGGACTTTGGGCTAAGCCTACCTCTGTGGTTGTCTGGACCTATCAGGAGCTAGGAATGACCGCAACTGTTTGCCAAGCCCTGCCATCATCCCACGCGTAAGAAAGAAGTAGACACATATGTACATGCATAGTTTTGTCGAAGTGTACGGCAACGTCTTAGCATTCGATCAACAATAGTTGGCTGTTCCTTGTCCCGACAGTGTGAACCGCAAGCTGATCTTACGGTCGCTTGTTTCAGTGGTGACAGCACAGAGGGAACAGGAACTCTAAACCCTTAACTGCGGGGGTGTAATGAGCCAAGCGGCTTTCGACGGAGGGCTGCACTTCGCAGACAGGGGTTGAGAGTCGAGCAGCAACCGAACGGAAAACCCTCAACCCTGCAAAACTAGCATGAAGCTAGCTTCATGCGGATCCCGAAACCCCCTTAATCCAAATCGAGCTGTCGAAGGCATGCGGAAGAGCGAGGCTTTGACCTTCATGATGCTGCTTTCGTGGTGGCGGCAGTAGAGCGGTTGATCTTCGATGAGGACCGTCTTTCAACGATTTAAAAGGCTTGGTCGTTGCTGGGGCGGCAGGAGTTGCTGTAGGGATTGCGAATGTAGTGCAACGCTTTTCTGACACTTGGTAGTGCTGCCTCCTTTGTTCCAAGACTTCCACAAGTCATGTTTGGCATGTCCATCCCAACCCATGCTATCTATCTCAGATGCTGACTGGACAAGGTATTCATACCGCATGGGCAGTCACCATGAGAGCTGCTACTGTCAGGGAGAAGCAGTACTGTACGGTGGATTTAGCAGGCGTGAGGCTCTTACTCTTTGCTTTCAACCGCTCTGCCCCCACACTCAAGAGCGTGACGTTGGCGACCAAGGTAATGAATTATGTCTGATCCTAGCAAAAGCTACATATGAGACCACACAAGCACCACAGGTCGAAAGGGGTTGTGCACAGGAGGCCTTGGAAATTCACCTTGGGGAGCAATGTAGCCGATCTCGAGCCGACGGACAGCACGTCCGCGCCGCGAGAATGCTGGATGTCTGGCAATATTGTTATGTAACAATGTAATGATACATACATACATATATATATATATGCGATGTACTGTATATCTTTATATATATATATAATATGTGTATATACAGGGAATAAGTGATGGTATCGTTGCCACTGCTCAGCTTCCAAAATGTTTGGGTTTTGGCGCTCACGGGTTTCTGCGATTTATGCGCTTCCTGGAAGAGAGAATGGCCAGGAAAGCCACATGCTTGCCAAATCCTACGAGGCCAGCGCTCGGATTAGACCAGTTTTAGCTACAGCAATATGGCGGAACCTACGCCCTGGGCCGAAAGGCTCCGCAGTCGGATCTGTTTGTTGCCGGCGAGGGCCCGAAACTAGCTCAGACAGCGTCGCAGCCCACAGACGTTGTTTGCACATTGTGAGAAGGAACTGCAGGGAGCTGCCAGGAGCACGCACCTATCCGAACACCGCACCGGTTGTGCCGTTGTGCCGTGTTCAATTCCTGAAGGCTTCTTCCCTCTACCCCTCTACGGCGAGCATCCCCCATGGATTCATGGATCACTTGACGGATGAAGGTGGTGCCCTGAGTCCAACACGAGAAACATCGTACAACAGCCGGGGAAGAGCACTTCCTGTCGTCCCTATCATACGCACTTATCATATCCCATGCACAGCTTTCTGCGCATAGCATGTGACAGCTATGCCAGATCTTTGGCTTTTAGAGTTTTTAACGGTGTTCCCGGTCTCAACCGCAAAGCAGAAGAAAGGAAAAACCAAAAACGATTACGAGTCTTGATAGTGCGCGCTAATCACGTTGTAGTGGTTTACTGTTTTTGTCATGTTCCACTGCAGCCAGGCCCATGGCCAGACTCCCCAGAAGTCTCTAGGCGAGACGGAGATGCAGCAGGTCGGGCGGCCAGATACACTAAGGTCGAGGAGACTCATATAGTATTGCTGTAACTTGTAGTAGACGATATTATAGGAGGGCGTAGCCAAACCGGGTCGTGGCCTTTTCGCTCGACACACGGTTGCCATACGGAGGGTTTGGTAATCAAGGAGCTGGATGTGAGGAAGCATGAATCTACAGCAGGGTCCCATGCCCACTCAGGCATGCTTTGAGCACGAATGATGGAGTCTGCCCCTGTTCCATCTGTTCGGCAACAAGCTCAAACGCGGGCCACCTGATGTAATTTCGCTCACCTGTCGAAGCTTCGTCGGCAATTTGTTGCAACCTTATGGCCTGGCACATGTCAGGTGGTAGAAGACTACCTGGTGCGCTGGTTGATGGGAGATGACGAAGAAGGTCTGCCGGATAGAATGCCGTTAATCACGGTGCAACTCATATTCTTGTGACAATTACGTGGTGCTTTCTGCAGAAGCTCTGCGCTAGAAGAGATCTCATACAAAGCTTTCGCTGTGAAGGTACGAAGTTGCTCCTGGACAACCGGACTTTGCTGGACAGACATGCCACACCCAGCCCAAACCACAATGCATGTCTGATTAACTAAGTTCATTCGAGGGGGCTGTGTCGCTGTGTTCTAGCCTGTTTCCCAGCTTGATGGTCAGAACGAAACGAAACCAGGTCCTGCCTGCGATTGTGTCAATGCACCATCGCCCGTTTCGAACATGGTGCTCGAGCATGCCGGTCTGGCGAGTACACCCTTGACGCAGTGTTGAGTTGAGGAGACCTCGTTTCCACATTGGAAAGATCTCGAAGCGTTCGGACATGGCCAGCTGAGGTGCAAGCGGTGGACGTGTGTGGGGTCTTGTGCACCATAACATTCTCGTTAGCGCGCTCGCAGCAAGCTTGATGTGCAATTTAGTTTGCTACCTTGTTCAAGAGAACCTGGCGAACAAAGAGCAACTGCCAACTGCCCTTAACTCCAAGTTGATGTTCAGGGCGCTGACATATATGCAGCAAAAGTCGCAGCGAGTTTCCGGCAAAGCATTGCAGACAAGGTCGGCTGCCTGAAAATCTGCGGGATCTGTGTTGTCATTTGATGAAGAGGGGCTTGTGAGGGACGGTCGAGGTGCTCAAGGTCGGGTTGTAGCATGCAAGACTTGGGTGAAGGGCATTCGTGTCTTGAGTTTGCACGCTTAGATCTTTGGTTCCGGAGCTGTGGCGCGAAATTGTTGGCACTTGCCGGGCTTGGAACTGCCAGGGCTAGTCAGATGCGCACACCTAAACTAACAGGCCTGGCAATACTGGAACTTGTATGTGTGGCTGTGTACTTGTGTGTGGGCAGCATCATATCATTGTGTATTCTTGGCTTAACTTGTTCTGCTTGACGCACAAGCACACTCGAAGAAGAGATTGTTGTCACAGTGCACGTATCCGCATCAAACCAACATGTCCCCCATCTGGTTCATGGTGTTGTGTTTGCATTTAGACATACCTGCGGTGCAGGCAAAGTCGCTACCGCGTCCTGTAGTTATGAAGCAAATTCCCCCGTCAAGATTGCAGTCGTTGTTGCCAAAGCGCCGAATCTGACACCGAGCACCTTCCGCATACGCCTTTCCTGGAAGCCCCCAGCACACTGAGAGAGTCACATGAGGTATTCTTACCAAGATGCCCACGACGTTGCTGGAAGATTGGCAGCAGTGGCTTCGGGTTTAGCGGTGTTGAGGCTTTAGATTTGAGTGGGCTTGCTTTCGAGAGTCGCCTTGGCACGAAACCCAAGGCCGGTCTTTGATGAAGTGACTTCGTGACTTCTGTACTTACTGCGCTTACTGCGCTTAATACCCAGCTTGATGCCAGAGGTCATGCCATGTGTGTGTGTGTGTATTGTATGTGTATATATATATATATACAAATGCATGTATGTATGCATGCATGCACATATGTATGTATGCATGTATGTATGTATGTATGCACGTATGTGTGTAGGTATGTGTGTAGGTATGTATGTATGTATGTATGTATGTATGTATGTATGTATGTACGTATGTGTATATGTACAAGCGCATTGTCATACACACACAGACAGAAACCGTGTACACGCTACGGCTATATGCGTATATCCCTTCATCTGCAAATATCTCAATATCATTACATCTGTCACACTACATATACACGTCTAAAAACCAATATGCCTATATCTATGTCTGTACCTTTACCAATACCTTTACCTGTGTTTATTCAAGATCAAAGTCTAAATGTTTATGCATGTCCGTATGCAGTCAATATCTAGATCCGTACCGCATACACATGCACTTTTCCATAAGTTTTATCTGTACCTGCACCTTACGTCTACATCTACGCTCTATATCTATGTCCATATCTGTATCTACATCTACACCTACATCTAGATCTCTGTGTCTGTAACACCCGTACATCTATCTGTATCTATATCTACAGCTCTATGTGTCCCCGTCGGTATCTACAACAACTACTTTTACACCTAGATCTAGATCTACATCGATGTATGTGGCGCGTCGCAGAACCCCCACCTCATTGGTTTCGGTTGCCAAGTCGCGTGTGGGCTTTGTGGTCTTGCATCCACTGGAGGCAGCATCACTCGATCTTTCGCCTCCTTCTGGCAATCCGAGTGCACCGGACTGAAGGCGCCACAGTACTAGTGCAGATCATTGTTTTGCAGTTAAGAAGTGGGCCTTGTCAATTCGGCCTGATGCAGTCTGATGCATGCCAACCAGATTAGCGGAGATGCCGGCTTGCTTGGACATGAGAAGCCATGCACATAGTAGATATCCGGCCGCGGATAGACATAATCGTGGAAAGCCAACACGTGGTCGCAGAAAAGCTAAGCTGCAAAAGGAACCAGTATACCGGCATTGACTAGAAGATATGCTGGGCTTGCAACAGGTAGGTTGCCGTGGGGTCGGGCGGAGGTACGATGCAGCGGTGATTGAAGGGTAGCCAGTACTCGTAGGGAGCTAATTCCGGTTAGGGGGGCAGGACAAGTGACTTGTCGGATTTACGGGGTAAGGCCCGGGCAATCTTCAGAGTGTGCTTGGCGCAGCCTAGTTGCTTGCGCAGGGCTGGACGCGGTATTTGCGTTTTGCTGGAGCACGCTGCCCTGATTCTTCGATCGTTTCCTTCGATGTTCTGCCAGTTCTTGGTATTGAAGCTCGGCCAACCAATTGATGGCAGGAGTCTCTGGTTGCCATGGACCCCTTCCACACCGGGCGCGTGCCGCTTTCGAAGTTCTACGGCACAGGCCCCCAGCTTGGCTGATGCTGATCTAGCTCAGTCGTTTCTGAGCTGGAAGTCGGGGAGGCACTGGAACTCTCCGGCCTGATCCTAAAGACCCTTGCAGTAGCTCGATGCTTGGATCAGGCCTCGACGAAGACTGGCGTTTCGGTGAGTCTGAGCTGGGGCCCCGATGTCCCGATTTCGAAGGGTTTGGGGTTTCGGGTTTCGCGTGTGTTGGTGATATGGTTCAAGATTGCTTATCAGCAAGAGCTCTTCATAGCTCGTTCAGTCGGCTTCTTTCTTCAGGTGCAAGTCACTTTACTTGGTGCCTCTGTTTTCGGTTGTGCAACAAGGCTTCCATGCCATGCAGTCTGCCATGGTGCTGGTACTGGTTTATTTCTTGTATGTTACTGGTGTGTGGTGCTGGTATGGTGAGGTAGGGTGCGTTGCGGAACGGTATGGTATGGTATGGTATGGTATGGTATGATACGGCATGGTGTGGTATGGTGTGGTGCGGTTCAGTACGCTTTCATGGGGGTGCAGGCGTTTCTGCAACTCTGCATGACTATGCATTAGGAACCGTGTCCTGCTTTGGCCCACACTCTTGCTTGTAGAGAAATGTTCAAGCGTTGTGGACAGTCTTCACACCAGCCGACTTTTGCGCATGCTTGGGATCTTCGAATTCGGTGTGAACTCCGTAAAGACAATCGGCGCAATGGACACCGGAAACAGAAACAAGACGCCCTGTTTTGCTATCACTTGCAACCACCAGTCACGAAGTGTGACAGTACTCCGAGTTCTACATTGTAGGTAGTAGGCCTAAGAATCCGTCCCAGGGCCAGTTCGATCGAATGCTGCCGCCCGCCAACGAAGCTGAACCCCTAACCGAACAGCAGCAGTAGTGGTCGTAGAATTGGCAGTAGCAGTAGTGGTAGTAGTAGTAGTAGTAGTAGTAGTCGTACTCGTCGTAGTAGTAGTAGCTGTGTCAGTGGTAGTAGTAGGCAGCAGCAGCAGCAGCAGCAGCGGTAGCGGCAGCGGCAGCAGGAGTAGTAGTAGTAGTAGTAGTAGTCGTAGTAAGTAGCAATAGCACTAGCAGTGCACTAGCAGTAGCACTAGCAGTAGCACTAGCAGTAGCACTAGCAGTCACAGTGGTGGCGGTGGCGGTAGCGGCGGCCGGTGTGGTTATTTTGGTGGTGGTGGTAGTCAGTCGTAGTAGTAGTAGTAGTCGTCGTCGTCGTCGTCGTCGTCGTCTTGGTGGTGGTGGTGGTGTAGCAGCAGCAGCAGGAGTAGTAGTAGTAGTAGTAGTCGTCGTCGTAGTAGTAGTAGTAGTCTGCTCCTGCTACTGCTACTGCTAC